CGGCTGAAGGGAAAAAAATTACAGATTTGTTGTACAATAATTCTTTGATAATTTGTGCAAGGAATTTATGAATTAATCACATCCCATGTCGTTTAAACTCTATTTATTTAATTTCGACATTATGTTAGGCTAGATTATTTTTGTGTTAAGATTACAATGGAACTTATATCAAAAACCTTTTATGTTTGAATTTTATTTGTTTTTTATATTAAAGCACGTTTTCAATTATTGAATGATTGCCATGAATTTATTTTTCTTTACAATTATATATGCAATAGTTGTATAAATTTTGTGGCTCGTTTTTCCTTCGAAAGATTGAAAATAAGTTAGACATAGTATTAATTGCCGTATAGTTTGATAGGGAATAGAAATATATCGTTATTTTTTATGTGATATTTAAGTATTCATAAATTTTTAATATATTTTTTTATGTTTGCATCCGTCATAGAAATATAGTTGGGTCGTATGTAAGAATATGTTTAATTCTATTCGAAAAAGATTGTTAAACAAATTAAAAATATTGATTTTAATAATTGAATCGTATTATCTTATTTATAATTTCTGGTGTTAAAGGAAATTGATTCATATTAGCATTCATATATGTAGCATAGCAAAAATACCAAATTACACATTCAAATAATAAATCAAAAATTAGAAACCAGCGATACAGAAGTATTATAGTTTACTAATGTTAAAAACAACATAAATTCGTTCATTTGAAAACGGTATAATAATCAACGTTGTCTCCCATAAGGTCTCACACACACACACACACACATATATATAAACGTATGAAAATGATAAATTCGATCTCAAAGTTGGATACCCATGGTTACGGTTCAAGAACCAAAAACCTTCAGGATTCAATCAGTTCTCTATTTTAGTTCCTAATTTTTTTTGTTTTCGAAATCGCACTGAAATATCTTATTTCGATTCAAGATGTTTGGTTTTGATTAAAATGTTTACCCATATCCATGACACTGTAAAAGGAGAATTAGAAAATAAAGACAATTATTGAAGTCAAACCTCCAAAATTGACCTTAAAATGGAAAATAATTGTAATTCCGAGTAAAGACAATTGGGACCTCATTCCAATTTATTTTCTTTCTCCACTATTATACAAAAAGATATTTACTTGTGCCTACAAATGTCTCAAAGCAATGAACCCATAACACATCAATAGAGACAATCCAATACATTTTCCTAGCCACGCCTTGATTGAACCATTACCCCTAAACCCACCGCTGAATTTGGTTTATGGGACCCATTATTGGGCTCTACTTCATAAATGCATCTTGAATGGGCCCCCACCAGAGAAAAGCCCAGCCACCAACTCTCAAGAGTGGCACTCGTGTAATATATTTCTATGCCTACAAAATAGTATCAAATAATTGTTGGCAAGAATGCACATTCACTGAATATGGGGAAACAATAGGTTTAAAAATGGGATCGAACAACTCCTACAAAGGGATTGTTTTTCAGTTTTTTTCTTTTGCTTCTACTTGTTGTGGGTTAGATCCTTTAGAAAGTTACTTTAATTGATGTTTAAAAATTAAATTTTAAAAGCGCATTATCTTTCAGAAAAGCTTTTAGAGAAAACTCTATTTGATCATCTTTCTCTTAAAGTTCTTCATTAAGCTAACCAAAAATATTATCTTTGACTATGTTTGGAAGCACCATGATACTTCTAATATTTCGTAAATAGAAACATTTGAATTAACGTGATGAGTGGAAAACAATTTTGAACCGTTGATTCCACTTCAAGTTTGGTTCTATTTATAAAAAATCGTGAGATGACAATATAAATTATTTATCATTATCCATCAGAAATAGAATAAATAAAATATGTTACCAAATATATGTTTCGGCATATTTTCAATCAATTGCAAATATGTCATCAAAATAGCATTCAATATGCAGCATAGCATAAATGCCAAATTACACATTCAAATAATAAATCAGAAACCAGCGATATGGAAGTATTATAGTTTACTAATGTTAAAAACAACATTAACTCGTTCATTTGAAAACAGTTCATCTCATCATTTCCTTAGCATTCCATGAGGTCATTCGATCAGTGTGAATAAACAGCAAAAATAAAAAAAAAACTTATGGAAATGATAAATTCGACCCCAGAGTTAGATATCCATGGTTACAGTTCAAGAACCAGAAATCTTCATGATTCAGTCAGTCCTCGATTTTAATTCCTAGTTTTTTTTTTGTTTTGAAATCGAACCGAAATATCTTATTCCGATTCGAGATGTTTGGTTTTGATTAAAATGTTGGGATGTGCTATGGGTACATAGCATAATACATGAGAGTGTCAATAATGGACACATGGAGACCCCTTATTGGAGTGGTGTCTGGGCCCGTAGGCACCTCCCCAATAGGGAATTTTCATGTGTCCATTATGGACACTATTATGAAACATGCTATGTACATATAGCATTTCCCTGAAATGTAAACCTATATCTATGATATTGTAAAAGGAGAATTAGAAAATAAAGACAATTATTGAAGTCAACCCTCCAAAATTGACCTTAAAATGGAAAATAATTGTAGTTCCGAGTAAAGAAAATTGGGTCCTCATTCCAATTTATTTTCTTTCTCCACTATTATGCAAAAAGATATTTACTTGTGCCTACAAATGTCTCAAGCAATGACCCCATAACACATCAATAGAGACAATCCAATACATGTTCTGGGCCACGCCTTGATTGAACCATTACCCCTAAACCCACCGCTGAATTTGGTTTATGGGACCCATTATTGGGCTCTACTTCATAAATGCATCTTGAATGGGCCCCCACCAGAGAAAAGCCTAGCCACCAACTCTCAAGAGTGGCACTCGTGTAATATATTTCTATGCCTACAAAATAGTATCAAATAATTGTTGGCAAGAATGCGCACATTCACTGAATATGGGGAAACAACTGGTTTACAAATGGGATCGAACAACTCCTACAAAGGGATCGTTTTTCAGGTTTTTACTTTTGCTTCTACTTGTTGTGGGATAGAGCCTTTAGAAAGTTACTTTAATTGATGTTTAAAAATTAAAATTTAAAAGCGCATTATCTTTCAGAAAAGCTTTTAGAGAAAACTATATTTGATCATCTTTCTCTTAAAGTTCTTCTAATTAAAAAAAAAAAAAAACTTTTATAAAATTAATCAAGCGAGTCCAAGAGCAACTTTTAAGTCTCAAAAAATATTTTTAACTTATCACAAGCTATGCTGAACATGCCCTGAATTAAACATTTTTTAGATTGAACCCCAATTCTCCAAACAATATTCAATAGAACTTATAAAAGATGTCTGACGAAGTTTTAATGACATTTTAACATGTATCGCTTAAAAATGTTTGACTATAACTATAAATTCAACCAATGCGGTTGAACGTGTATCTTGTGCTCGACAATGAACAAAAGTTGAATCTAAACGATGTAAAGTAAACACAAAATATTCACACATTTGAGTTTTCATAAAAGTAATCAAGGGAGTTCAAGAGTAGCTTTTGAGTCTCAAAAAACATTTTTAACTTCTCAAAAGCTATGCTGAACATGCCCTAAATTAAACATTTTTTAGATGGAACCTTAATTCTCTAAAAAATATTCAATAGAACTTATACAAGATGTCCGACTAAGTTTTAATGAACATTTTAACATGTATCATTTCAAAATGTTTGCTATAACTATAAATTCAACCAATGCGGTTGAACGTGTATCTTGTTCTCGACGCTGAATAAAAGTTGAATCTAAACGATGTAATGCACACCTTTCATGAATCTCGGGAAAATAATACAAAACAATATAAATATAAACGAAACTAAGAAAAGACATCAATTTACCACCAGACTAGAAGATAAAAAGTGGAAATGAATTGGTTAATTTGAGAATAATTATGGGTTCATTTAGAAATGATTAAATTTCATTTCTCAACCATACATTCCTATTGAACTAAAAATATTATTCACTTATCTACAAGTCATTTCTATTTATTTATAAATTAATTCGTTTGTAAATTCTTCCCGAGGGAAGGCTAACATGCTGATTGTCTAAAAGTATTTAATTTACTTAATTTGTCTAATGTAGAGCATAGTTAGTAGGGATGACAATTTAAACAGTCAAACTTGAACTCCGTGGTGCCGTCCGAGGCGGGGGCGAGGCGAAGCGAGACTGGATCCGCAATCTCCGCTAGCCCCAGTTGTTAGTTGTTTAAAAAATTCATTTTCATTTAAATTCACTTTAGTACGACTTTTTTATGTGAAAATCGAACTGATTATCCAAGCTCATTAATTCAATTTCCTAAAGAAAAATGAAAAACATAACAATATATAAATGGGAAGGGGATCGCCACCGTTGCGTCCCCATCCTATTGTCATTCCTAATTTTTAGCTTCCATTTTAAGCAGCTTTTTTCTTATCTTTTAACTTTTTTTTAACTTAATTTAGTTAAAAATTAGATTTTTAGTTGATTTTAATAATAAAAAAAGATGAAATATACGTTGAAAAGTTGATAAAATTATAAATTTTATAAAATATATGATTAAAAATTAGTTCGAGTGAAAATGAGTTTTCATAAATATGGCTGAGGACTCAATTTTCTTTGTAGAGTTCGACCTGCAAAAATGAAAAGTCGACACAAGCTGGTAAAGTGCAAGTGGTTTTGTTGTAGTTGCTCATCCATAGAAAATTGCCAACAGATTTTGGCATTAGGAGATTGTCACGTGATTGAATGAATTCGGGCCGTCAACTTAATGCACTTCATAATAGAATGGCGACTGGGTGGGCCCCAAGGTCACGTGATTTTACTGTTTTTGGACGTCATTAAAATTCATTTGACGGTTGTACTTCGTTTAAGATTTATATGATTATTATATAATGACACGTGAGACTGCATCTATAAAAACTCAACCCCTCTTGTTTGGAACAAGGAAAAATCTCTCGCTAGCTCATAACATCAGTAGAATTCAAAGGTCGAATTTCGGCGACAAAGAGAGAAAAAATGCTTCTCCGTAGCTCTTCAACGCCTATACACTCATTGATTCCACACTCAAGGGAACCCTCCTCAGAACCAGATTTCATTCATCAAACTCTAAAGTCAAGATGTTCAACAATTTTTCTGTCATCATCCAACTCGATAGCTTCATTAGATGAATCCATTAAGAAGTTGTCAAGAACTCATTCGAAAACCGATCTCGAAGATCTCAAAATCCCATCAAAACCTACCAAAAAATGCACGTGCAATATGCATCACTTGCTTTCCACCATTGTAGTTGAAGAAGAAGTAGGGCCTACTGGTGGTGCTTTCTTTTTGTCATCTAATTCTGGACTTGATTTGGTGGAGGATATTGTGGCAGCCGGTGGCGGCAGTATACACGGTGGTGGGAGTGGAGGAACACCGGGTGGGGGTGGGGGTGGTGGTGGAAATGGAGATGATGGTAGCTCTCAGTATTGGAATTCGAACTTTGGAAGTGGAAGTATGGATTTGTATTACCAGAATATGATCACAGCTAACCCAGAGAATCCAATATTTCTAAGTAATTATGCAAGATTCTTAAAAGAGGTACGTTTTTATGGATCTAGGCATGCTCGATACAACATTATCATGTACTAAATGTGCGATAAAATACACTACTTTATGTTGAAGTCTCGTCTGACGAATTATTTATCGAAACAGGTTAGGGGGGATTTTGTGAAGGCAGAAGAGTACTATGGGAGAGCAATATTGGCAAACCCTGGAGATGGAACACAAGACAGTAATATACGACTAAAAATATGGCTAAAATATGAAGATTCAGAGCGTGCAGATATTTTATTTAATCAAGCAGTTGAAGCAGCTCCTGATGATAGGTAACCATTAATATTTTTCTTCAATAGATATTACATTTTTTTTAAAATTGAAAAGTCTAACACACATACAATTTTGATGATGTAGTTATGTTATGGCTTCGTATGCTCGATTTCTTTGGGACGCTGAGGATGAAGATATGAGCGATGTTAGCACGCATTCAAATTTCTTGCAAGAGACTCCTATAGCTGCTTGTTATTAAACCGACTATCTCGTGTGTTTTATTGCAAAATCCGGATCAATTGGACTGATACTGAATCGAACTGAACCGGCGCGTGTTTATTCCAAATAGATATTTCATGTAACCACTTTTTGACCGTCATGTATTTAATTTAATCAAAGCTACTTGAACGATATTTTGTTGTAAATGTGAACATTTTACATTTAGTGGGATTTCTTATTTTATTTTTTTAATTGAGCCGAAGAATGTTCGTATGTTTCTTTTAAATAGATTTACTAATTGCATTTTTTTTTTTTTTGTTTATGCTAAAGAACCCTAAAGCTTCCATTTTTGTAAGAAAAATAGAGTAACATTACTTAGAACAATTGGTGTTATAGTACTACTAATGTTGAATAACATTATTCTATTCAATATAATGCTGCATCGTGACCGGTATTTGCCTCGATTGAAATTGTAGTATTAAAGATAATTAACGTCATAATTTTTTTTGATTCTTGTTCATTCGGAGAAAAGTTATTTCAGAATAATATTATAATTTTTTTCCCCATAATTTGTATATCACAGTCAATTTTTTTTAGTAAGAATACAATTAAGGGTGAAATTAGAATTACAGTTTAATTGGAGACAATTAGGAGGTATACTGTTTTCAAAATTAAATATTGAAAAATACTGCAAGTCAAACATTATTGACAATTACTAGCAATCAATTCTTCATTTTTATATGTATAATATATATACTGATAAAAAATCATTCACTATTTAACATATAATTATTTGCAACATAATTTGAACTCGGGCCAGCCTAAATTCCTAGATCAATCAAACATCATATATTAAACGATTTTTACACTTAAGTTTGACATCATTGATGATATTTTCTGATAAAAAGACATAAATATCCATCTTCTTATTCTTTAGTTAAATCAAGGTTCTCTATTCCTGATATAAGATAATTTTGATATATTTCTCCTAATAAATGAAAAAATCAATTATGCTCATTTTTATCGATATATCTTTTATCAAAATAATTATTTAATATTTTAATTTTATTTTCTAATTTATTAATTTTTTTATTAATTCTGACTATATTTTCTGTCAAATATAAAAGTATATGTATATTTCTACTATTTTTTAGAAAATAATCAAGCACACTATAAATTGATTTAATTTATTCTCCTTTTCTTTCACAGTCAATTTCTAATCTTCGAATAAAAGTAACTAAAATTTCATAAATAGCAGGAGTGCAAATATTAATGCGAGTATTTAACATAAATAAGAAAGATCTTACATTATTGAAGCAGAAAGTAAATTTAGAGTAATCTCAATGAGATTTCCCTTGAGCTTGCACCCATATGTTAGTGTACTCAGATATAAATGATCGGTGTTATTTGAATTTAAGAAAGTGGGTTATGGTTCAACACGACTTCCGCACACTTATTGGTTTTCTCTCTTACTCTTTTGCATATCTCACAATGGATCACACGGAATCACAGTTTTCCTTTCAACTCCTTGTTAAAACATTACCTTGAATGGTAACAGGGTTTTCATGACTTTCTCTAGTAACGCCTAAAACGTCTACACACGACAATATGGTAATAAGATACTTGCACTAACCCTCAAAGTTTTTACCGTTGGAGTATAAGTAAGATAAGAGTTTTTGAGAAAATAATAAGGATAGAAAGACACTATCCTGAAATAACTTGATTTCATAAAAACATCACACTAATATCTCTTACATAAGTGTCCATATACATATTTTGACTGCACTCTTGGTACTTTCTCTAAAGAAATTAGAATTCCGTAGAGATTACTTTATTACAAGCTTCACTCCAAAGACAGAAATTGAAAATGTTACAAGTTTTGAAATGCAGAGTAGAGAGATAATTTTTTGGCTTAAGACTCGAATGCCTTCTTCTATGAATTTGTCTTCAATTTATAGACTTGAAAATCTTCACAGCTCTCCTTCATTGTTGTTGATTTTACTGTGTAAGATAGTGGGTATCTTACTATGGCCTAAAGTTCTTTGTCTTAACATGGAAAATAATGGAGGTTAACCCACAGTTTTTCTTTATGAAAATCAATTCTGATAAAGTAGTGATAAAGGGGTCCTCTACTTTTCCATATGTCCCTTACTTTTCCATATGAGACTGAAACCACTCATTCGGGAATTCTTCTGGATCAAGAGAGATTGGTGAGCCATCCTCTTCATTGGTACAGCACTCGCACTTATGATTTGGATGACGCCAAAACTGTTTGCACAGCTCATTTTCCGTCTTATGTGTTCCACTAGTGTCTCCTCCAAAAATATGATCACACCATGTGTCAAGATAGTGTCAATCTTCTTGTTTGGTGGATGCCACAACTTTGCTATAGATTAGGTGATCCTGTGATTCATACACCCAAATATTATGTCTTTCTTCAATAACTTTTTCAATATGTTCAAACTTTTTGAATATATATATATATATATATATATATATATATATNATAAGCTGGAGTTCCTGGATAAATATTGACTTTGTTATAATTTTCATATGTTAAGGTTTTCTTCCATCCTCCAATACTGGTAAACCAGCAGCGCGCTAGATTGAACAATACATATGCTAACATGAAATCATTTTTATTTTTGATATCCATAACACCAGGGGTGTTACAAGCCTTAATGATATTTGAGCGATCAAGCTCTTGTACAGAGATACTGTCGTTTGTGAATTTCTTCTCCTTTGAAAGAGACAAAGTAATATTCTCTTTGAATGATAATTTATGAAACTTAAATGCTTCTTGTTCAATATTGGCGCTAGGGTCTTCAGATAATATAGCTTGATTGGCTTTCTCAGATATTGGCTTGACAGTAGCCATTTCCATCAATGTCATCTAGGACTCTATTGCAGCTATCTTCATGTTCATCTTGAACTTCAAGGCTTCTAGCTCCTTCTTGATTTGCTCCATTCCTGGTTAAGAAGTTTGAAATAAAATTGTCTTTTCCTTTAATATGGACAATATCAAATTTAAATGGTGCAAACCACATTTGCATTCTAATAAGGTTCAAATTTTGCTACTCATTTTTTAACGGCTAAACATTCTTTACGATTAATATCATACCTTGTTTCAGCATCTTTGAATGTGCCCGAAGTATAAGTAATAAGCTCTTCTGGGCATTTACACAATGGATTACAAAGAAATTCTTTATGATTTTCTTTTCTTTTGAGGATTGCTCCTCAGTGTAATAGAAATGCGTCAGTTTCTAAAATAAAGAAATCATCATCATTTGAAATATTTAATTCATGTAGATTTTAACATATTTTCTTAATTTTATTTATCATTTCTATATTTTCTTGTGTCCATTTTCATACAACTCATTTTTTGAATATTTTTGGTAAAGTGAACCTTATATTTTGCACAATTTTTGATATATTTCTCAGAATAATTTAATAATCAGATAAAACTTTGCAACTCTTTCTTATCTCTAATTTCTTCTAGAAATTCAATAATCTTTTTTGCAATATGAGGTTATTGAAGTATTTTTTTTCTTCAGTAAAAATATACCTTAATAATTCAATTTCATTTTTAGTTATTTCTGCTTTACTTTTTGATAGAGTTAATCCATAATTTCTAGCAATATAATTGAACTTTTTAAGGTGTTCAATATGTTCTTTTAGATTTTTAATATGAATAAGAATACCATACACATAAACTATGCAGAAGTGTTTTATTGGTATAATAATCTTATCAATTCTTTGTTGAAATATTGTTGGTGCATTCATTAATCCAAATGGCATAATATTCCATCCGAATTGTCCTAATGGATTAGAGCTAGTAAAACTAGTTAAAGGTTTTGATGCTTCATCTAGTTTTATTTGCCAATATCCTGATTTGCAATCAAATTTAGAATATATTTTACTTCCTTCTATTTGTTTAATTAACAATTTTTTTATTGGTAATTTATAACTATTTAGTATAGTTTTAGAGTTTAAATCTCTATAATCAATTGTCATTTTAGCTTTTCCTCTTTTTATCTCACTATGATTTCTGACCATTAATGCTGGACTATTATATGGACTAGTTGATTCTCTTATTACTCCTAATTGTAAAAGTTTTTTAATTTGTATTTTAAATTCTTCTTTATCTTCTTTGCTATAAGGAAATTGTTTTCCTGAGATCTTAGCATCTGAGTCTTTTAGTTAAATAGTTGCCATATGTTTATCTTTATCCCATTTAGCTAAGGGATGCTCATGACAACATTCTTTTAGTTCTAATTTAATACTTTCTAATTCTTCTTCTAAATTGCTAATTCCTAATACTGGAATTTTTTGTTTTTGATTAATTTCTGTATAACATCCACCACGATTATATGCAGAACTCTAATGTTTAGGTTTATGGTGAATAGATTGATGTGCAATTCCAACAGCTTTATAGATTTTTGGTGTTTTAATTTTGTGATGACAAGGTGTAGTAAACTCAAAACTATCATTATATTGTGTAAATGAACTATATGTATAGATAAAATTTTCTCCTAAAAGGATATCACATCCAATTTTATCTGTTGCATATATTTTAGGAATAAAACATTCTCTATTTCTTATAATGATAGGAACATTTTCTACAAAATCTCTATAAATTTCTATAATATCACTTGCTGTTTGACCATAAGTTGTTTTCTTGTAATCTGTTTTATAATAGTGTTCTAAGAACACATTTCTTTTACATCGACAAATACATGATCTAGTATCAATTATGGCATGAAATTTTATCATACAATAGTTTGGTAAATTGAGAGTTATCTCACTATATGGACTAAGTATACTAATTTTGATTGATCTGATTCCTTGTATCATATAAATTGGTTATTTGTTTTTAGTAATTTTAGGAATCATTTTTTGTTTGCCTTCTATAGTTATTTGTATAGTATTCTTTTGGATATGAAATAGTGAGACTTTCTCAAGAAAGTTCATTCCAAATAATATTGAACTAGTATCTTTTCCTTTTCTATAATCTTTATGGATTTTAAGATTTAATTTAAATTGTTCTCATTCTATATCTGTAAAACTTAATTCAAGATTAATAAATGTTTTTATTTCATATTTAATTCTATGATAACCCGTAAGAGTTATTCCTTGTGGTAAGTCTTCTTCCAGTAAATGGTTAACTAGATCTGCTCTTATATGACTGGTACTAGCTCCTGTGTTGACAAGGGCTATAATTTCTTCTTAGTTATTTTGATTATTTATATATTCTGTTAGGATAAGAAAATTATCTTCCTCACATTTTCTTAGATCAATGTCAACATTATTTCTAGGTATTGTTAGATAATTTCTACCAGTAGATGGTCTGCTAGAACTTGAAAGTTCTCTAGTGTTGATACTTCTTTCTATTCTTCTACTGGCATTCTAGCTACAAGTTATCCTAAGGTATTCAAGATTACCAATCCTTGATTCCCTACATTATTGTCTATTCTTCGAGATTGCTGATAAAAATCAAGCTGTATATCTTATGGTAAGGAAATGGTATTATTACTTAACATTCTTGGTGGTGTAAATTGTGCAAGGTCTCTAAAATCTTCATGAATTTGTATGAAGTCCCCTGAGATCTTATTAATTTCTTTTTGGTGCGTAGTAGTAAATGCATATAAAACTTTACAATGTAAAGTTACAACTTTACTTTTTGGTGACATAATTAATCTATCGATTTTGTGATATAGATTTAATCCTAAACTTAAGTTTTCATCCAATAAAGACATGCAAATTCAGGTCTTATAGTGAATATGATTTTATTGTATACAAGGTTTCCAAATACAACTCCTAATAAGGCGTCTATAGGATCATGAAGAATTATATTCTCCATTAAGCATATTTGCATAGTAATATCCATTCACTCTCTAAAACATCATTTAATCATTATTTGGATTCTTCCAATCACAATATTCTTTAATCTTTCTCTAGTGGTTCTTTTTATATTAGATAATTCTCTATTAACCCATTCTCTGGTTATTAGAGGTATAGTGGTGTTGCCTTTAATGGGTACTTCATCATATTTAGCAATGTATATAGTTTTGTTGAACTAAGGTAGTATTGATCTAACAAACACGTCTTTATCTCTTAAAGATATTTGTTTTTCTTTTATTGTTCCATATTTTTCTTCATTAAACACAACAGTTTGTGAAGTTCCTTCTTCAGTATCTAAATTAGTTTTAGCAGTGTCTACAATCTCTTGATTCATGTAGATTTGTTCATATTCTGATTCTTCAATTTCTTCAATATTTAGATCATAAATTGAGTTTGTTTCAGATAGTTCATCTAAGTCTTCAATTATCTCATATTCTGAGTCATATTCTATCTCTTCCATTAATCTAATAGATTTAATATTTTCTTTTTTATTTTTATTAGGAAAATTAGGAGATATATGTCATATTTCATGACATGTAAAATATTTACAGTTTTTATAAAATTCTTTTTAGATTTCTTCTGAGATTTTCTATATTGATTGAATTCTTTTTTCCATAGTTTTTTCTTCTTAAAATATTTCTTATGACTCTTAAATCCTTTATTTTTCTTCCAAAATTTAAGATATCTTTTAAATTTCCTTTTATAATATGGTTTCTTGGATGATTTGTCACATCCAAATTGTGGTACTGCTGCTATTTCTCCATAACAACATAAACTAGCTTTCTTACCATATTTTCTAAATAAATGTTGATACATAGATTTTTTATACCATTCAGATATTTTTCTCTTAGCAAACGAAGTTCTCATTTCTAAAGTATCTGTTCTATAGTTAAGATTTTTCCATTCTATTTTATTCCGATAGATTTGATAATCTTCAAATATTTTATGACCCCATGGCCAAGGTAATTTAAGAAAATATTTATTTAATAATTTTTTATCTTCCTCAGATAGATTCCATTCCTTAATAGATTTGGATGCTTTGATATATAATTTTTCGAATTGCTTAGAATATTCATTTAACTCACACATATCACAGATTTTTAATAATTCTATTTCTCTTTCTGCTTGTAAAGTTTCTTGAATAATCATATCAATCTTAGTTTCTGGTATAACTTCTCCTAATAGTATTTGTCTAAAAAAAAATTCTACTCTTTTTAAAACTTCTTTAAAATTTTCAGCATCTAAATTTTTATTGCTATCTATAGTAATAGTAGATTCTTCTCCATATTTAATTTTGTTTTCGGTTTTTTCAGAAGTTCTTCTTCAGATATCCGAAGTAATTCCTCTAAAAGTGTGAATTATAAAGTTATATGCTTGGGTTGTATTCCACTTATGAAAAGTAACAACTAAATCGGTAGCTTTTGTCCACGAGTCAATAATTCCACTTTTGTTATTGCTATCATCCACATCTAGCCATATTTCTGTTGTAGGAATTGGTTTAGTAAAAAGTTTAATTGGATTATTATCTCTAAGATTTATATACTTAGTGGAAATAGCTTTAGGTTCTTTCCTAAAATTGTAACCTTCTCTTTCCATTCCATGTTCTTTTATCCATTCTAAATTTCAGTCATCAGATTCGACTTGAGTCCAATCTGTAGTCATATTAGTTCTACTTGTTTCTCCTACTAACGGCTGATTTAAAGGCGGAGCATTAATTTCAATAGTTTCATCTTTAGGTGGAGAATCGTTCATATATATATATATATATATTCGGTTTGAATTGTTTATAAACTTCTAATTCTTCTCAACTAGTTTTAAAAAATTTTGTTTCTATTTCTTCTATAACATAAGCTGGTAAAGGTGGTTCAATTGAGATATAAGATTCTTTTTTATGTTTCAAATTTTTAAATTTGATTCAATTTGTTTGTATAAGATTTTTGGTCCTATCTTAATATTATTATTAACAATTTCTGAATTTGATTCAATACTCTTGATATGAGTTAAGAAATCTTGATTCAAAATATCAGTTTTCTCTAAAGGCTGAGTATACTTATCATACTGTTCCAAAAATTGATCTATTATAATATCTTCTTCATATCCAAGAGATTCATTAACCAAAATTTGTAATACTTTATTTTTTGTTTCAACTAATTGTAGAGAGTTATCAATTTGTTTTATCTCTTCACTTAGAGACTTAAATTCGGTACTTAAATTTGTCGCTAATTCTTGTAATTTAATTATATTAGTTCTAGTTAAAATATTAATATTTTATAATTCTTCTAAAATCATTTTATCTTTTCTATTCATTTTAGAAATTTTTCTTTAGTTTCGTTACTAGGCTCTGATACCAATTTTAGGGTAAAATTGCGGAAAATAGTTAAAACTTAGATGTAAGAGTATAATAGACAATACATCTATTAAAAGACAAAATTATGTCAAAAATAATGTAATGGAAAATGTACAAATAGCTTATTCATATATTAAAAGAGGAACAACAAAATATACATATAATTGCTGCAAAGACAAAACCAAGTTGCATTATTACATTATTTGCAGTAGATGCACAAGTACGACCCATAAGAGCCGGGAACCTCAAAAACAGGACCATAGGATCCTATCAAAAACCAGGACTAGGCAGTAAAAAAAAACAACCTTAAAGAGGCTGCTATGGCCAAATCCATGTCTCAGACACCCAAACTCCTGAATCACCCAAAGCATTCTACTGAATACGACCCGAAATACCCTAGTTTACAGAGGACGGAGATGAAACTCGTATAGAGTTTCGAATACAAAGATGACTTTCTAAAGACACGATGCATTCCCTAGCAGACACGAGAGAGAGAAACTAGAGAAAGCTTTATTTAAGATACGATGTACTATGCAGCAAGACAGAGTGATGGGGGCACGCACGTTGAAAGTGAACAGCCGGGGCTTAAATGTGACCAAAGTGGAGGCTGCACAGCACCATAGGACGAAACTCATAAGCAGGACGCGGTAACTGTATTCACATGAAACCATAGGCAGTAAAAAAAAGTTAAAAGTCTCCCGTATGAGAGACTCAAAAGTAACAATAGGCTTTTCGAACATGAAGAAGCCTACAAAATGGGTTGATAAAAACAATCTGCCACGGTAACCATGGAAAACAACCGAGTCTACCGAGTTACCTAAATTCCCATGGTAGATGACAAACCTCCACTGAGAAACATATTGTATGCACTTATGAGAGAATGTCACATTTCCATAAGTTCCCCGTTAGTAGCTCAATTGTACGGCTCCCAATGGAAATGCAATGCTGGAGATTCAACCCCACTAATGTCCTTCCCAGTTTCTTAAGAGCGGTAATGCTCTTGTTGGTTATCATTGAGCAGCTTGATAGGGAAAGAATCTGCAAATTTGATTGCACTCCACGCGACAAAGCAGCAACACCAGAATCAGTGATTGAACACTTTGAAAGATCAAGATCATTGAGCAACGGACAGTTGTTCGCAAGCACCCCTAAACTTGCATCCGTAATCTTCTGGCAACCATCAAGATTTAACAATTCAAGGGTCGCACCATGCAACCTGGCTAGAGAAAATACCACTTCATCCGACAAATTCACACAATCACTAAGATTGACCTTAGCGAGTCCCGATTCACAGCTTTCCAGAAGAGGGAGAAGACCAGTATCTGTTATCCCACAGAGCCCACTGAGATCCAAGTGATGTAACTGTGGACACAACTTCCCAAGCATGGCCAAGCTAGTACTACCCAATCCCGGGCAACTTCGGATGGACAACGATCGAAGAGATTCACATGGAGAAAGCATTAGAGTCTCAGGAGATAGATCCTTAATTCCCATGCACTTCACCAGGGTAAGAGACTTTAACTTAGACTTACAGTTAGAAATAGCATTTAGAATCCCAGTTTGGGTGATCCGGTTGCACTCCTCTAATTGCAAGCTCTCAAGAGAGCCAACAGCTTTGGCAAACGCAACGAGCCCATTGTCGGACACAAAGCAACACTTTCGAAGACACATTTGCTTTAAGTTCGGATAGCCCTTTCCAAGTGCTTCGAGACTCAAATCTGTTACCCCCCGACATGAAGTGATTGCCAAAGATGACAGTGTTTGGAGACCTCGTGCATTACCCATCACCCAAAAGCCCTTTTGGCTAACATTTTGAAGTCCGCTCAAGAAAAGACTTGTAATGGACTTCCCATAGTGCCCTATTACAGCAAGAGAGTAATCTGAGATGTTAAGACCTTGAAGTTTCACCTTTGTCAAAGAAGAAGCCGATGAAAAGAGACTTGCAATGCCCTGATCCCCAACAAATGGGCAGTCTTTGATTGTAATGGATTGTAGCTTGGTGCAATATTTCCCGACCGCTTGTAGACTCTCATTGCCGATGTTTGGACAAGATTCAATTGTTAACGCAGTCAAATTTGGACAGCCTTTTGCTATTGCAACCATACTCTTGTTCGAAATTGATGGACATTGGGAAAGATCAAGCTTCTCTAATGAATGGCATTCCCTTGCAATCTCAAATAGACCTTCATCACCAATTGAAGGGATGTTCCACAATGAAAGAAACCTGAGGGAAGGGCAACCACGGGCAATTGCTGACAAACCAAGGTCAGTAACACCCCGAATAGAATTACTTCCTCGGATCGAAAGTTTTCCAATTCCACCACGGCTGGAAGTACAAACGGCAAGAGCAGCAAGCCTAAGATCTGTTGCTTTCTTGCCTTCCACACACCTCGTTAAATATCCATCACAATCCACCTCAAGATCCTCATCTGCAGAGATTGATTCTGTGTTATTTGAGGCCAGATCCACGTTCATATCATCAGATTGTCCCCGTGAGGCTTTGCTCCGGTAAAACTCAGCACTGCGGACCCCACTCAAGACTGTAAGCCAGCGCTTTGAAACACAAGCAGAGGCACTTCTCTCTCGGCCTCCTGGCAAGTGTCTAAAGATCTCAAATAGGCATTCATCTGGGAGCATATCAATGGATGGTCTTTTATCTTCAAATACACTCCCTTCGACAACCAATGGGCCGCTGATTCGTGCACGCTTTCTTGGAGGGCAGTATATGTCCACATTGGAACCAATAGATAACACGATGCCAGAATCTCCGGAACGAAAAGGACCCCCACTATAGAAATCGTTGTCACCTAAAAAAGGCAAAGAAATGACATCAGGAAAATTTTTCGTGTTGATCTTCTATAAACAGAAATACTAAGAAACCACAAATGAGGTTTGTAATAATAATCAAACCCCTTGGGTTTTATTTGATTGAAGAAGGGAAAACTATTTCATTGATGTAAGTTACGCCAAGTAAATACTAATAAGAATCCAAATTCCCCACTTGCTACATTCCATCAATAATGAAATCTATTTTCTTCCATGAGCATATGTTCAAGAACTTTCTAATCAGTTTTCACCTCTGATCAGCTGAATTAATTTAAGAATCTATGATCATCAAAACGCAAAATAATTGGTATTCTCCATATAAATAACTTGAATTAATACATACATATTCCCTGTAAACTAATTTAAGCATACATACAAGGGGAAAAATTCATTAACTTTCTAAATCTTACATTATCGTATTCAAATCTAGATAATATAAGCATCAGAAGACCACATCGATCACATAATTCGATTATTCAAAGTACAAAATATGTTTATTCACAATAATTCAAAAAAGCCCAGATCAATCCATAGCACAAATCAAGAAAATTTACATCAAATAACCCAGAAAGAAAGAGCTTCAGATAATTACTCACCGCTGTAATTAACAAGAGCAGGCATGGCTTTTTCTCACAAGAAAACCCCCAAAAGAGAGAAAAAAAGATCACACTTTTCACAAAAAACAATACAACCCAGATCAGATTATAAGCAAAAATTTGCATTCCAAGGGAAAAATAGGCCAAGATTTTCTGAAGAAACCCCAACAGTAGTTGAGGAAAAAAGAGAGAAAAAAGATGAAAATAAGCACTTTTTGGTTGTTTCACAATAGTTTTGCAATGGAGTCGAAGTTATATCAATGTGCATGTACATAATATTTTTGCTGTGTTCAATGAATCTTCCCTAAAACTGGTTTGTTCGGTCACACCTCATGTCTTGCCACTTGTCTCAATCAGGACATCATTATTATTATTATTATTATTATTATTATTATTATTATTATTTTCTTTAGAATGAAAAATTTGTGGAAAAAAATATATAAGTTCCATCCCTTTTTCATTTGGTTAAAGTCGAGATGACAATGGATTAAATTGACCTTAGACACCTGAGTTTGACTCGTGTTTAAATTATAGGCTCGACTCGACCCTTTGACTAGTGGTCCATAGGCTGAACTAAGTAGAGTCGACTTCTATTTTTTTTTAAGGAAATTAAACAAATAAAGTAAAAAATGAGCAAACATTTATTTTGAACAAATTAATAAAATAAGAACCAAAACGAGCTTGTTTGTTGAAAAAAAATATGAGCTGGGTTTAGTCGGATCGATTACTCATCTCAGAATAAGCTCGACCGTGAGCTGAGCGGGTCCCCTTTTCCACCCCTAGGTCCAAAGCATGATGAGATACTCGAAAAAAGAAGCTAATTGGATGATATGGATACAAAAGACTAAAATGTTTCCAAATATATCATAGGCTAAACCGCTAACGAGGATTGATGCATGGTTCATCATCTAATTACTAATATTCGAGATATGAAGACAAAAAAATTTGAGTGAGTTTGATCCTGTGATAATTTCGGGATTATACCTACAAAAAAGAAAAGATAATTATTTTCAAATTCCGTTTCAATCATATTGTTCAAAAACTAAGGAAAAATAATAAGTTAAAATCAAATCCATTATACATTACATACCAACTATGCCTATAACACGTTTTTAATACTTAAAAAATTAGATTTGATTGAACAAAATATTTATTCTGCTTCCTTCTTTGTTATACTTAATTCATCGTATCAAACAAATCATTATTGAAATAACATTTTATAACACAATTTACAAGTGTCTTGACCCATATTCCTACAATTATCAATAACTAGGTATGTAACCTCATGATTTCTTGTTAATTGAGCATTAAATTAAACGTTTAGTAACTTAAATTTGAATACATAACATAAAAGGTTATGACAATATATTTTATTCCTATAAGTATTAAAATTTGAATAATTTAAATCAAATAATTGAAAAAAAATAAATAAATAAAAAAAGGTAACTTCAAGAGAAACTTTACATCGAATTTGCTGTTTTTTAAGCCTCGGAATGGGCAAGGACAACTTGCATTGCCAGTGCATCTCATGCATCATCGATTCATTTGGGATGGAAAGTGGAAACTCAAGTTGGCATTTCTTTAATCCATTTTTTCTTCCCCTTTTTGAAAAAAAGAAAAATAAAAAAAAAAATCCAATCAACAACTTGTATTTAATCTTATTAGATTAATGTGTTTAATTTCCAATTTTTGAAAATGGGATTAAGTTGAATTAAGCATTCAAAATATGGTAAGCATGGATCAAAACATTCGTCGATAAAGTTTGTCTATGTTGTTGAATTAGAACAGTCCCAAGTCGAGCCATGATAATGTTGAACTCGAGATGCGAGAGAGTCCACTCTTCAATACGCTTAAGGTGACATAATGAATTAAACTTTCAACTTTATACGAAAGTCCAGATGACCAAGAAGTATTATATTATATCAACGAAGTTTAAGTATAAAACACGAAAACTAACATAATACTAAAGCTCCAAGTGTTACAAAGTCGAGCATGATTAGAAAAGTACTTGGCTTGACACGCACGTTTTTTACATGTAGTAGGGTTCAATGTGCTCAAATTAGTATTGAATAAGCAAGACGTGCAATATTCAGTTATGTGTCCTTTTGCACAAATTTTAATAAATTAGGGACCTCCATTGTAATATTCATATGACTTGAACTTTATACCAAAAAGATATTAAATTGGTTTTTAATCATTTCAAATATTTTTTGTAATTAAACTAAAAGATTTTCAGACTACTAAACTTTATTTTTAAATTCAAATCAAATTCAATTTTTTTTTTGTCAAACTATAAGCTCACCAAATTTTGTAAAAAAAAAAAAATAGAATTGATTTGATTTGATTTAAACACGGTTTTTTCATTTAAATGGCTCGATATCCTTGTGCAGATTGCGGCCGCGTGGCTGGCCGGTCGAGAAATTGTCTCAACGAAATTGCATGGAAATTAAGCCGAACCAATACAAAGCACCTTTTTCCCGTCTAAATTAAGTGAATTTGGTTGGATACAAACTTGACTTCTTGGGCTAAGTTTGAACTTTCGAATGTTCATCTCCAACCTCGTTTATTTGCAACTATAATTAGTGTTCGTACATGGATGTACAAAAGCTAATTTCATGTCTAGAATCAACGATTTTGTCGATTAAAATTATTCGGATCCAGTTTGACTTCCTGAATTTGCGGACATTCTTAAAATCAACATATTTTTTGAATTCTCTACTTACTATTATTAGTGTGTGAATTTTAAATATATAACGTCAATAAATAACTTTCTTTACTTAGCAATTTATGTTTCTAAATGAGTTGATTGACGATGACGTCATATCAAACGTAAATCTTGTATTACTATTTATCTTTAAAAATTATTGCAATCCATATATAAGGATGTGTATTGAAGACAAAATTTGGTTCACGAGAAAGTAAGCGTTATCATGAAAGTTCATGTACATACTTAACTTTATTTAGGGAGTGCAATGAACTTGATCAATTTGGTTGCATCATAATACGTTCAAATATAGGGCCAAAATCAATGGATCTGAATTAAAGAAGCGTCTTCAAATTTAGTCCGTTTCAATTTCATCCCCCTTTTAATATGTAAATTCTTTAATTTGTAATTTTCTTTTTCATCCAAGTCATTCTTTTATGCGTTGTACACTAGGGAGAGTATCTGATCTATTATCCGTCACGACTTTGCATCACATTCTTTAAGATTTGTACTCAAGATATTTGTCTTTTGAGAGATTTAAGTTGAATCACAACAATTGTTGTTATAATTAAACTTAAGTTTCTCATAAGACAACGATTTTGAATTTAAATCTTGAGGGTGCGATATAAACTATAAAGTCATGAGATGTAATATGGTAGAGGCTCTTCCAAAGTAAACAGTAAATATAATATAACAACTAGGTACGGAAGTCGGATCGTTACAAAAAAAAATTGTTGCGTCCCCCAGTATTCGAGTTCACGCAAGACGGAAACGTGAACACTGATAAAAGAATTTTATTCGTAACACACGAAAAGGGTGTTACTCGAATTTCATTCAAATGGGCATGAGAATTATTGAAATCCACCAAATAATACGAAAACTGAATTATTATTAATCAGAAAATGAGTGTAGGGTTCTCACCCTTAAACACATATTTAAAGAGTCAAAACGAATCCTAATCAAATTGAAATTCTTATTCTATAGAAAAATTTAAATAAAAAAAATTACAAAAATGATGAAAATGACCTTAAACTAACTAAAAAAAAAAAAAACTAATACAGACTCATAAACAAAGGAATTTGATCTCAGAAGTTGGACAATAGATATCCAACAAAAATGTGCAGAATTGATAAACGCTTTTGGATTGTACTCGCTCGTGAAAATCTGACACTCGAGCTGAAGTTATGTGCATTTTCGTGGATCCTTCTTGTTTCTTCTTTTGGCTTGTGATTTTCTCTTCGAATTGATTTGCTAACAAAAAGTTGCTAAATTATTATTAAGATTCAACTTAAATCTCATTGGGGGATGCGATAGAAATTCGTGAGAGGTAAAATATACTTATGCTCTTTCAAAGCGAACAGCGCATATGAGTTACAACTTGGACACATAAGCTGAATCCTTACATGACGTGAAGTTTTGGAGGATGGGAATGATAATAGATGTAGAAAGGGCACCTACAATTGCACGGCAAGTCCAGAACAAAAAGTTGAGATTGGGAGTTTCGACACTATATGTTTTCAGTAATGGTAGATGGAGGGCATGGTCAAGTACCATCAATAAATCCCATAAGATTGTATACTACGAGTAAAGTGTGAATATGTAGTTTTCATGGTGGTTAATATGAGGGGAATATGAGCTGCAATATTGATAGATATGAGATAACTAGTGGAGTTGGCTATGTTTGTGAGAGCGTGGACAAACCGAGTTGAGGTTAATTTGTGTTTTTTGGATCGATAATGGTGGAAGATGTGAATGGATAGATCTCACATTGAACAAAAATATGAATACTAACCAACAGATAACGATTTAAACTACCACTCTTAACAATGTTTACATTTTTACAATGGAATTTCAAATCTTTCGATTAGGGTATTTGCATTAAATGACTTGCCTAAAAAATGACTATTTTCATTCACGTATTTATAAATTTACGAGTTAAGATTTAACTAAATAACGTAAAATTCAATTAAAATAATTGTATGGATGTGACTTGCATACCTTGATAAGTATGTTCTTCCTAACGAGTTTCTTTATTTGTTTCCATTAAGAAGGTTATTGGAATAGGTTCAATGGTTTTGGTCATTGTCAAAGGAGTTGCTGTGTCATTTCGTAGGTTTCTTTATTATGTACAATGGACCCTCCTTGTTGACAAAATTTTGAAAATTATTTGCATCCAAAATTATTTACAAAACCAAAAAATATTTCTTTTTGACAAAGTGTGGGATTCAGAACATTAATTCGTCGAGATGAATTGCATGGAAATTAAGAAGAACGATCATAAGCACTTTTTTTGGGTCTAAATTAAGTGAATTTGGTAGGAT